TCGGCCGACTTCGAGCCTCTCCTTGGGGTTTGCAGTACCGGTGTAATTAGCGTTCTGAGAGGGCTCCCGCAGCCTGCCCCCAGCCTGCGCCGGTGCGAAGCGCGCCTCCTTCTTGGGGTTCCGTTAGGGAGAAGGCACGTGAGAAGCCAGACACACCCCCCCCCCGGCCCGGTATGGAGCGTATAGGTACATAGGTACCGCTGTCTGCCTCGCAGGGCGTTAAAGGCAAGGGCACAGTAGAAACTATACTACGTGGCAGAGTACTGGATAGTCGAATGTGTTCCTTCTCTCTCGTTTCTTCAAATAACTCGGTGCTTCCTTTGGAACCTAGAGAATATCCCCACAACGCCTGGCGTAAGCAGGCTTGTGAGAGGTTTCAGAGACCTCTGTTCTGAACAGATCGTCGCTAAGTTTGTTGCTGAAAAGAAGTTTATGTAGCTGAAGAAGATGTTAGTGCAGAGAGACTCTCGTAGTAAGCCCTTAATGAAAATTGGGAGGGAGGGAGGTTACGCAGAGTTTGCCGTCAAAGGATGATTGAATATTTTCTTACTAAAATATGCTGCAGTTATTTCTGCAGCTCTTTTCTCATGTTTCTTCTTGTATAAAAATGAATTTTACGTGTTTCTTCCTGTATAAAAATAAACTTTACATGTTTCTTCTTATATAAAAATTGAAAAATCTTGTAGGAAAGACCAAAGTCCTTATCTTGTTTACACGATGTGTTTCTTGTCTCAGGACCATCTGTAGTCAAGGTATCACCATCCATATGTGTGCAAGAGATAACAAGTAAATTGCAAGATGGTCCTATGTTTACTGCTTACTGAATCAGGATTTGGTTTTTCCCTCTGATATTTTGAGAGACCAGTAAATTTTCTGTTATACCTGATGATTTAAGCAGTGAGTGAGTGAAATTTAGACAAATTTCTTAGCTGAAGTGTTGTCCCAAAACATGTGTTAAGTATGTTTTAACAAACTTGGAAAGTATCAGAATATAATAGAAGCCAGAGTTTGATTTAAGATATCTCCTTCTTCTTCCAATTTCATATAAGGAATAATGTTCAACTATGTCAGTAGCAAATTTGCTCCCTATAAAATCCCTGTTCCCACCTATTGGGTTTTCTAGAAGCTAGGGATGTTGTGTAGATATGGTTGCTGCAATTACCTGCCATTAAGAGAAACATCTTACTGGTTCCTGTATACCACTACAGTAGGCAGTTTTGTTGTTTAACGTACTAATAGTATAAACATCTTCTTCAAAGTTGATGAAGTTTTAGATCATGTATACAGCTATTTCATAGTCTTGTTGTAACATTCAGCAAATCTCTGACACACCTGTTTTATCTATTTTCTTTTTGTCTTATGTATTCTGTTTGCAATGATTTCTAACACAAAAAAACGTGATAAATGCTTCTGCTTTTTTCAGCTGATCACTTAAAATGATTAAACTTTGCATTGTTCATTGTTGCTAGGAAAATGTTAGGAAAACTGGTGAGTTTTTCTCCATGTCTGAAGGACTTATATAGAATCTGAGAATCTACAATTTCTTATTTGTATAACCACTAGGCATATTTTTCAGAAGATAACCATATTGTTCTATGATGAAACTTGTATTTACTGCTGTAACATAACAGAAAAACTTATGCATATGTGAGCAATAAAGCAGAAATACAAATTTATTACTGCCAGAATATGTGCTGTCATTTTAATTTTCAGAAGAAAATGCTGTCTTTTTTAACTGCAGAAGAACAAGGCTTTGTCTTCCAGTAATTCTGAAGTGAAAGTTGTCATCAACAAGAAAACTAAAACCTTTTAAAGATAGGCGTTAGTAATAGAATGCTGAAACAAACTTCTGGATTAGCTTCATTGGCTTTCCTGCTTCTTTTGCATCCCAAAGCATAAGCTTAAGTCGTCACAGAAGGACAAGGTCCGCCAGTTTATGGCATTTACCCAGGCTGGTGAAAGGACTGCTATATACTGCTTAATGCAGAATGAATGGAAACTAGAAGTGGCAACAGACAACTACTTCCAGAATCCAGACTTGTACTACAAAGAATCCATGAAAAATTCCATAGACAGGAAGAAATTAGAACAATTGTATAATCGATACAAAGGTAAGGTTTTTTTGTTGTTGTTGTGGGTTTTGCCTTTTTTTTTTCCTAGTTTTTTTGTTTGGGTGGTATTTCTGCTTTTCCCTCTGCCATTCTTAAGGACTTATAGAGAAAGATTGCTAGCTTCTCACTGTGTTTGTGGTAGTGAGATAAGAATGAAAAAGGTTTTAAATGCTCTTAATGTTCACTACACAACTTCTGTAGATGTTCCTGTAGAGTTTAGAGTAAATTCACAGTAGGAAATTAAACCTGTCATGAGGAAATAGTGTCAGCTGCATATGGTGGAGAGTCATGCTTATTATGCAACTTATTTGATTTATTGCCAGTGGCTGCTATTAAGTATATGTAGAATGTACTTTGTGTGGCAAAATAATACATATTCTTATACTAATATTTGGGGGACATAATTTTGTTCAATGATAGTAGTGTTTCTATACATTAAAATAAAAAATGTTTCAGGTAACATTAAAGCTAGGAGTCAACAGTCAAATACGCAAACTCAAAAACTGGTCATGGAAACTCTACCCTTGTTTTATTCTTTGTGCTGGCATATTAGAGCAAAAGGGATGTGCCTGTTCAGAGAGGCTTGGAGGCAAAACCACCGGGAAATGGATTAAAGGCAGAGTTGTTGCTTTTCCATTCATTGTTATTTTACAGCATGGTTAAAAAGAACAGAAGAAGTAAAAGGAAAAGATAGTCACGTAAATAAAAGAATGTACGTGATCCAGGTAACAGTGCTGTCTGAAATGTGGCCATCTGACATGAATGTGTGCATTGTTCATTACATGTTCGAGCAGAGTGGGCTGGAACCATTACCAGCCCCTGCTGAGATCCATACATCTTGTGTTTTAAAAGATGAACTCCTAACAATTACTGAACTATGATTTTATGTACTTTTCTATTTGCAGTATATGGCATGCTTTGTATACACTTTATCCTGTTCTTATGATATTTTTTCCACCCTTTTTTGTTACTCTTTACGTCATGTGTCCTATTTTAAGAATAGACATTCTTCAATATTTTATTATTATGCGGTCATGAATTTTGTAGGGACAAAGTATCAGCAACACTGTAGCATTGTTGGTGGTTGGACCTGATCTTAAAGGTCTTTTCCAACCTTAATGATTCTGTGATTTCCTTTGTGAAAAAAAAATCTTAACTAGAGAATCACTTTTTTTATTTGTTTTATATATATATGTGTAACATATATACATAGATAAATGTTTTGCTTGCTCCTTGCATGTCAGTCTTAGAGAGTGCTAGGTCAAAAATTCATAAATGCTACTAAGAAATTATTATTGATAATTTTCTATCAGTGGCAAACTGCACCACTTGGCTTTTGTGAAAAAGTCTAGTAAGTTTTATGTCCATGTTTTGGTTAGCAGCACACCTTTGCAGTTCTAGTGCTTTAACACTTAAGTAAAGTTGTAAAATTGAACAAAACCTTCACAGGATTTGAGAGAAAACAATAAAAGTTTTGGTTAAGCACCTTTCCTTTTTTCATATGTAACTTAAACCTGAGTCCTTGGCCTTGTAACAAGGAATTCCTTTGTCCTACAGGGCCTATAGAATGTTACATACATTGCACTGTATTTGAAATCTGAGAGGTCTTTCATTTTCTGTGCTGTCTTTGTGTTAGTTTTCTTTCGTGTTTATCCAGCAGCTCTGTCAAAACAATAATTTCATTTTTGTTCCTGGTTACCTGGATGATGTGAAACATGAGGCTAAAACAGTCCTTGTTGAAGTCTATCAGCATTTTCCCACTGATTTCAACGCTAGTGCACTTTTTGCCTTTGGTTCTTCAGTTAGTCCCCAAATATAAAAGAAATGCATTTTACGTGTCTTAGAACTAGATCTGGCATATAGTGGAATAGATACATTTACTTGTTATTCCTGCTCAAAGGTGCCTGATTTATACCGTGGGTGCAATTCTTTCTTTAATGGGTATAAATCTTTTGTTTGCTACATTAACTTCCTCTCTGCATTGTAGCATTTCTTCCCCTTTACTACTGGCTGGAAAAGTGGAAGAGATGTTAGCTTAACACCTAAAAAAATCCCCAACCAAAACACCAAAAAAAAACCCCACCAAAAAAACAGAAGAAATTTTTCTTTAGACTTGATTTTTTTATCAACTAATTGGATAAGGACTTAAAAAATAGCATGGTTTAAAATCTTACCAGTATAAGGAATTAGTCTTAAATTTACTTCAGGGATTCTTTTCTATATAGCCCAACTTACAATACTGAAATGTCTTCCTGTCAAAAGCTGGGAAAGACAGTTTTGTAGTGTTCAAACTGTCAAACTTTGAAAACTAGAGGTGGTTTGGGGGTGGAGGCAGGGTTTGCTGGTTTTTTTTTCCCCTCTCCAATTATTTAAGTTTACATGCAGGGGGTTTTGTTTGTTTGTTCAGGGTTTTGGGGGCATTGGGCGTTTTGGTGGTGGGTTTGGTTTTTTTTGGGGGGGGGGCGGTTTTGAGAAAGAATTTTGTTACAGAGTGTGGTTCTGACATTCAACAAGGTAGTAAACTTAGTACTACTGAAACATAGTATTTCCCAAATTGTATTGCTTAGCTTAGGACCCTGTTACACTAAGGTATTGCTTGAGCAATGTTTTGGTAATTTCCCTGACTTACAATTAAATTGGTAATTTCCCTGACTTATAATTAAAAAACAAAAGTGTTTGAGTTAATTATGGTCTTTAAACAGTTATAGCAGATTATCATATATCTCTATCAGGAGGAAAATCTGTGGGTTCACTTGGTAGGTGTAGTTTTTTTGGTTTTGTTTTTTGGGTTTTATTTTGAAGCTTAATATATGCTAACCAGTAAATATATTGTACATTTTGATGTGTTTATGAGCCTTATGGTTTTTAGATGTAGTCAAGCATCTCCTCAGTTAATTCAGATCTTTCAGACAAAACTATTTCATTAACGTTAGCGGATGAATTCAGGAAAAAAGTTGCAAACCAATTCCTAGGGAAGTTTGCAGAATACTTAAAGATGCTCTTCAAGGTGCTTCTAAAGGTAACTGGATTTTAAGTGAAGACATTTATGAAGCTTATGAAAAAACAAAGACCTGTGTTATACAGTATATAAAAGCTGTGCAAGTGATTGTTTGTAAATAATTACAGTTGTCTTCTTTGTATTTCTAACTGCAGACCCACAAGATGAAAATAAAATTGGCATTGATGGGATTCAACAGTTCTGTGATGATTTAAGCCTGGACCCTGCCAGTATCAGTGTTCTGGTTGTAGCATGGAAGTTCAGGGCAGCTACTCAGTGTGAATTCAGTAAAAAGGAATTTGTTGATGGCATGACAGAGTTGGGGTAAGTATCCATTTCTGCATAGTTCATAATGTAAGGCCTGAGCTCATTTCTGTTTAAAACATTTTTAATTGAATTAAGTGTGAAGCATCAAAAAGCTGGTAAGGCTGGTGCCAAGCTTAACAGGTGCTAAATGCCTGTAGTGTCCTGTCTTCCTTAAATTGGTGCATTACTGCAAAGCTTTAACAATGATTGCAGTAAGGGTGAAGCAGAATAATTCCTACCTGTACAGCAAGAAGACAGACAGATATGCTGATCTTTTCATGTAATTCATATAAACATATGCATGATAGTGTTAAGGTTTTGAGTTGGATTGTGTGCTGTTAAAAGCTGAAAGTCACTGGAGGTGTACAAAGGAAAAAAAAGTTCAGTCAGTGTTGAAGCAGAAAAGAAATAGGAAAGCAGAAAAGAACCTTCAATTCTTTCCCTTTACCTTATCACCACCAAATGCAACTTTTTTTTCTTTTCACCAGTTTTACAAACCATAGTTGTCTCTTACTGCCTTGTGTACTAGGTACTTCATTTGTACAGAGTATCTATAAGAATTTGAAATAAAAATAAGGTTGTTTACTCTGACTGTGATGTAACTGATAATTTTTTTTTTCTTCCTGGATTATGGAGCTGTTCTGGATAATAGACTTTTGAGATTAGATCCCATTGCCTCTGTTTAGCAATAAAGTCAAGCATTTATCACCATAAAATAATAATTTGTGTATAGCTTTTCCTTGGAAGATATGCAGTATTTCTAATATATAGAGGTGTCAAAATGATTTTTTTTTTTAATGGATTGCATTAGACAGGTGGAGAATTAGTTTATTGTGCCTTTTTTTTTTTTTTTTTGGTAGCTAAATAATTGATCTTAGAATGGTGCCTTATCAATACCTTTACAACAAACCAGCTTCTAGCAAATGTGATGCTTGTTTCTTGAGCAGAGGTCCTAGCAATTTGTTGTTACTGACCTCACCGATTATTGTCTTCTTTTTAAACTTTCCTTTTTAGGTAAGGGTATTCAGAAACTGTGATGAAATAACTTTTTATATCATCTGAAGTCCACTGCTTTATTTTGTCCCTTTGGGTAGAGACTGTAAGAATAATTACAATTTTCCAGCCATGGAGAGCAGTCAAGTGCTCATGCTGTTACATTAAAAGCTGTCAGTAGTATTTGATATACTGATTAAAAAGGTTTTGCTAAGCGACCTGTGGCTTCTGGCTTGGATTTTGTTTTGTAACTTCATTGTCATGTTACTCCTATGTCCTCATGACTGTCTCTGATACAGTTCCACAGAAGTCTGAGATTTTTATCTCCTTCTGCTCAACACACACTATAGTGTTCTTGGGAGCATAATCATATCATACCTGCTTGCCACTGGTATGCTGCTTATTGAGAATTTGGAATGATTTTGTTACATACTGGAGGTGCAGTGTCTGTGGGTTTTGGCATTGAACATATGTGAAGACTTGAACGAAAAGAAATCCGCTGAGTCTTAGTTCATATAGCACCTTTAGGATACGCATGGAAAAGTATGATATTTGTCCCTATTGTTAACTAGATTAAGTCCCCATGGAACTGAAGTTCTCAGCTGAAGACTGTTGGCAGAATTCTTTATATTTTCTCCACCAGGTACTGCTGGAGGCCAGAAAGATACTTATTTTTATCTGTACCATGCAACACAGTTAAAACTGCATCTGTATTTTATGGATTTTGCTGCAGTTATCCATCCTTTAATAAAATTGTTCTTGAATCTTAAATACAAACATTTAGCTACTGAGAACTTTCAAACGCAAGATGATGATAGCTGCTTCTTTGAAACCTATTTCCTTCTCTTTGAGTTTCTAGGTACAATTCAAAATACTGGTAATAGCCTATAAACCTGGAATATTGATTTGATTCTTTGGTGTGGGGGAAACCCTTTTAAAATTGCATCTTGTCAGCTCAGGTGCTTTCACTGATAATGCTCCAGTCTTGTGTTATTAAGGGATGTGTTTCTGTTTGAATCTCAGTAACTTGATTCTATCTTGGCTTACCTGTTCCAGGCTGTTAAACAGTTTGTCAGCTTTCAAGCTGTCGTCACAGGCTTGTCTTTTTCCCAGGTTTTATCCACAAGTGTTCCGTAGTGGGGACAGAATGACTGCAAGTAATAGTTGATTTTGTTGAGAAGTCCTCTAATGTTAAGGTTGACTGTAAACATAGTATGCAGCTTTTCATTTCGGTAGAGCAGGGAATAAGTAATATCTATCTAGATTAAGGCAAAAACCACACCTGTAAAAGGCGAAAATATAGCAGGTTTCAGTGAGGTTTATATGTTCTTTAAGAACAGAATGACATCTATTGTTTGAGCTCATAAACTCATGAAGAGACTGAGAAGAAAAGTTAAACCACTGATTCCTATTTGGATTGTGTAACTTAATGGATGCCTATATATAACGTTCCACTTAAAACTGTTTACTAAACACATATGAGTGTGTATATTTTTAGAAACGCTATCCAGAAAGATACTTTGTTTTTATCTTAACTGCTGTTTTATTTTGCTCTGAAACTAAACCTTAAAAAATATTAAAAAGTGTAGAAAAAAAGGTAAAAGAAATCTTAAATATTTACAAATAATATAACCTCTCTTGAACAGGTGTGACACCACAGAAAAATTAAAAGCTCTATTGCCAAGATTGGAACAAGAACTAAAGGATCCAACAAAGTTCAAAGATTTTTATCAGTTTACCTTTAACTTTGCTAAAAACCCTGGACAAAAAGGTCTAGGTAAGTAAAAAAAAAAAAAAAATCGAGAAAATATCTACAGACAGTGAAGTCAATTCCAAATGCTTCCAATAATACAGTTTTGTCATTGATGATTATACAGTAAATTCATTATTGATTTCTTTCACTGACGTCCTCTTTCCCATCCTCTTTCAATTAATCTCTTCTTTAATGTCCCTGTGGTACAGATAATTTAATGAGGTTTTCTGCTCATATTGACATTCTTTCTTCTCTTGTAAAAGGAAGTTCCTGCAGTTCTTAGAGACCTGTCATTTTATTTTTTTTTTTTTAAAAGACTGAGCTAGTGAGCTCCTTGTGTTTTCCATTTTATTCAGAACAGAACTGAAATAAGATGTCCATACCAGCTTAAAAAGAGGGAGAAAACTCTGGGCAAAAGTTACTGTTCTTCTAAGAATTTTTAGTTTTAGTTCACTGTTTTTATGTAAAGTTTAGAAAAATAATATTATGGGGTAGGTTCAAAGCTAGTGAATAGAAATAGGCATACAGTTTGTAAAGTATTAAATTATTATTCTCTATAAAGTTTGAGATTTTTCCCTATCCATGCCTTGTATTGTTGGAGTAAAATAGATATGTTATTTAAATTCCAATGCTTTATTCTCTTCAAATCAAAAATATCTATAGTTTGTGAAGAGATGAAAAAAATTGTAAGAAGAAATCTGATACCCTTTCAGATTTATGTCCACTTTCAAAAGACATTGTGTAAGAAGGGATTTAACTCTTTTGTGTGTAGAACAGCACTGTACCATCATCATTGTTCTCTTTGTGCAATGGGTTTTTTTAGCCTAGCCACTTTAACTCTGTGTCTGTGTTGCTTGACGAGCATGTTAATAAGTACTCTTTCTCAAAAGTTGTTGGATGAGAAGTGAGATGGAGGAGCAGAATATTGATTTAGACCTTCTCAACCAGAGGCGTCTTTTCCACAGTCTTTCTTGGGAATTACTTGGAATAATCTCTCTTTTCTTTCCCAGTGTCTTTTTTTCTCTTCTTTTTAAACTTTTATCCAGTTTCCATTCTTTATTTTTTGCAGCAATTTCTTTTTTCATTATATGGGTCACTCTTTCTCATGGGTCACATGCCACCTTTCCAGACACAAAAATGAAGTAGTCTTGTAGTGATTCTGTGAGGCTGGTTGGAATTCAGGTCCCTTAGCTAGTTGTTCCTTTTTTGTCTCTTTTCATTAAAAAGTCTAGTACTTTCAGATTGCGGAAAAGGTAAGTCAGATCCAGCTGAGGTTGGAATTTATGGGATACCTAAAGAAATACTGCAAATGGCTTCCTGTTTTAATTGGCTCAGTTGCAACATGGAACTCACGTACTTGGGAAATGTCTCAAAAGCTTTTCACCTAAGCCTGTACAAAGAGAGGAGGAGGGAAGGCAACCCAGCCCAGATTATGGAACTGAATGTTCTGTTTATTTGACGTGAGGAGGAAAAAGGAAACGTACTTGTTTTCCATAACTTCTGTTTATTTGGTACAGAGGCCTTTTTATTTGTAAGTCTGTCTTGTCTGTTGTATAAGACTGATACTTGTTGGCAATAGAACACCCGAGTGCCTTCTTACACTAAGAGTTGAAGTATTAGCGGGAGAAAGAAAGAAGTGCAAAAATTAAAGTTAAGCTTAAAATAGACTGTAGAAAGAGTTGATTGGAACTGTTGCTGATTTCAGTTTCCAGGAATTTTAATAATTCTGGTAATACCTACTGTTTCTTAGCTTCAAGTAGTGCTTAGTTGTTACATGGCATTATTTTGATGATGTCAGATTTTTTCTGGTTTTGCTAAGATGATTCTAGATATTAAATAAATATAGGCAGGTGCCACTGCTTTTATTTCAGTGGAGATAGACCATATTTCTGTCTGATGTGAACTTGGATCACTATAGGTCGAGTAGAAAAAGGGTGCTAAACAAGCGTATTGACTAATACTACATTTTTGGGTGATTGAGGCCAATGATAACTTATCAAAATAAAAATTAACACGGTATGGGTTTGGAGTTGGAATATTTTCAGGGAATGCCATTATATTCAGCGTAGCAGAGAGATGGAGGAAAAAAAAAAGTATACAGGTTGCTGTTTATATCGTACTGCTTCCTGCTCCAGTTATTCTGAGAGTTATGCTTGTTCTCTTTCAGCAAAAAAATTTCAGTCAGTTATCTTACAGGAGTGTCTGTATGAGCTGAGAGTTCTTGTTGCTTTAGCTACTTTTAATCTAGGCTTAGGTGCTTTTCTATTTTACGTCCTCTTCTCTGTATACACTATGTATTTACTCCTAGAACTAGTCCATCTTCCCTCCCTCTTTCCGCAGCTAATGTACAGGTGTTTGGTATTTGTGTCCCAATGACTGTATGCCCTATTGTCAAGGAGATGCGGGGAATTTATCGCATCCACATACAATGTCTGTTTCTCTCTTACTAAGTTTGGAGCCTGGGCTCAAGATGCTTTCATGAATTCAGTCCAGATAGCTAAACAGAACGTACAATTAGGTTTGTTATCAAATGAGATGGTATAAACCTCTGCCTAGGTCATCTTAAGGTGTTGACCTCCCCTTCCTCCCCACACGCACGTTAGATGGCATGCAGTGCTACCTAAGCATGGGATGCTGCAAAGCTACTGTCCTAGCTGCTTGCTTTCTGGTGACATGCTGCCATGTGTGCTTGCCTATTCATTTCCATACATTCACATTTGAATTATGACTTCGAAGGTAAGAGGTTAGTAAGTTTATGGAAAGTAGGGATGAAAGTGAATGGTTTTAATTAATGAGGTGGAAATAAAGGAATTATTTCCTGACTTTCAATTACAGAGTATTTTAATGTGATTTTTCTGGGGCAGGCAGTATCCAGTGCTTCCTCTTATTACACTTAGAGCTTAAATCACCAGGTCTGGTGATAGCTGTTGCACTCGTCGTTTAGGGGAGTGATCTGTAGGCTGAAAGAATATTGCTTGATTTTCAGATATACACATGACCTATGAATACACCTGTTTGAAAACTAAGAAAATTTGACATAGTGCCAGCAACAAATGGGAAATTCTTATTCTTAGCAGATTGTTAATAAAAACTTTTTATAAAAGAAGACATAATTAAAATGGTCCTTCTGTTGGATCCTTCAGGCTAAGTGCTAACGCTTTTTTTTTTTAACAGAAATAACATGTGAGACTAGATCTTACCAGAAAAATGTCTATGATAGGCAAAGAAGACTCATTTATGCAATTATTTTTCATGTTTATTTTATCTTAACATATTGAAACTATAAGAAATTACTGAAATACCTCTAAGATATCCAAACACTGATGCTTTTGTTATGAGTCATGTTCATTGCTCTATCAGTATTTTAATATGTCTCTAATTACTTTTTTAAAAAAAAATATATTTCTGCTGTTTTAAGAAGCCATAAGCAGCAGTTACTACTTTATTTTCTGCCACATGTCCCCTGAAGAACATCAGGAAATACAGCGATTCATGGATTCCTTCTTAATACGCCAGGTGGTCGTTCAATTTATCAGCTAAATTGAAATGCTTATATACCAGAGAAATGCTTTTATAGGGTATTCCCTTACGCCAGACAGGATCAACATCTACCAAAACTGTTCCTCACAGGTGTTTGTCTAACCAAGTGTTCAGCGGTATGCTAGCAACATATACTAACTTGCCTTTTCAGTTTCTGTAGTTACCAGCAAGATTTGAGATCTGGTTGGCAGTGGTCTCCTGGCTGAAAAGTTTGGGAGCTGTTGCCTTCACATAATACAACCTTAAATTTCCGATGGCATGTCTCATACATCTATGTCCGTGCTTGCTCAAACCTATTGTTAGATTTTTTTTTTTCTCACATATAACTTAAATATATGTTCCTGAATTCTTCAGTTAGATACTTAACTGTGTAGAATTCATGTTTCCTTAGAGGTAGTAACAACTTTTACATATTTGGCAACTATGTATGTGTCTTCCCTTAGTCTCTAGATTGAGTAAAGCCGACTACCTTGATAAATTTTATCTTCCAGTTCTCTGATACTGGAATTGTGTCTTCCAACTCTCTTTTCCTTTGCAATCCAATTGATCTAACATTCTCTTGTCCTGTAGTGCCCAAACAAGCTAGATATCTTCCAGGCGCCTTAGGTATTTTGCTCCTTGTTTTACATCCCATTATTAAATTTGCTTATATTTGTAACACTGATACTGTCTGCAGTTTGTGATCTATTATATTTTTGGTTTCCGCAGAACTGCAATGCACCCAGTTGATTCTGATCTTCTATTTCTGCCGTCAGTTATTCCCACTAGCTATATCACTTTGCACTTCTCTTTAATGAAATCTTTTTTATTTACCTCCAAGTGGTTTTCCAATTTGTCCAAATAGGTTTGAATTCTACTCACGACCTCTACCATGCTACAGTTTCTTCAGGCTTTGTATAAGTTGCAGATTTAATAGAAGTTTTCTTTGTTGTATCGTCTGAGTTACTTAAGTGTTGGACAGTGTTAGATTCAGGAGTGACCCCCATGGATGTTTACGAGAGAACCACTGAGGTTCTTCTAGAACCTCCTTTGACCTCTATGAAGTCTCAAAGATGGCAGGTAGCAGTTTGAGGTTGCTTCAGCATACTGAGATGAGTTTCACCATGTGTAGCTTCACTTTGGGCACCACTGCTTTCAGACTGAATTTCTAGAAGTTGTTTCTGAGATTACTGTCAGGTGGAGCGTATCTTGAAAAAAATCTCTGTATATCCCAAACATTTCTCCCTTGGGAGATATCAGCAGGACACATAACATCTTTTATTACACCAGCTGCCATTTGTAAGGGAAGGAGTGGGAAGGCACAGAAGCCCTTCTTAGAAGCTTTTTTTGGTGATAGAAGAATTTTAGTGATACTCTACACCGTTGTCTTCACGATGCGGTGGATTTTGCTCCAGGAAAGCGGTCTGGGGGGTGTTTCCATGCAGTTTTGTGTTTTAGCTATTTTTAGAACAGCCTGTCTTCCATTGCTTTTTAATTTCTTGTTC